TCGACTGGATTCCCAGGCCGATGAACCCGGGTGAAAAGCGACCATTCATCGCTTTCCTCGAAGACCATCCACACCTCGAAAGCCTAAGCATATCACGACACACTATACAACCAATTCACTTTTCTGCACTGGGTCCAACGAGTCTCGGACGTGTTACATCGTTCTCAGGGACACATCAGCAACTTCAGGCGCTTCCGCACTTGCATTGCTCACTGGAGTCGGTCACGTTCGTGGACCCTGTTGAGACTCGCGAGGTGTCCGCGCCGACGGTTGCCAGTCTGCTGCGGGAGCTAACTTCCCTGACGGAACTCCGGATAGCGTTCACGCTCCATTCAATGTATGACAGTGGCAATCTCCTGCGTTCCCTTATCCAGTCATGTCCCAACCTGCGACATTTAGAACTGACATGCGGGCATAAGCCTTCGTTTCAACTCGTACGTCTTCTATCAATTCTCATAACCGTCGTCTCACTAACCTTTCCCCTCCTCTCCTTCCTTCCTTCTCTCCACTTCACAGGATGCATTCGCGAAAACAATCCGCGGTTTCCCTAAACTTCGCACCTTGCATCTTACCATTGTGAAATATCCCGGCGACGAGACCCTTGCAACAGGAGCAACCCGCATTGCAAGATCCAACCCGAGGCTGAACAAGTTCTCGCTCACATTCATCCCACCAGTGCACCCTGTCCCGCTCCCATTCGCTATCCCTTACCGCCCTTTCTCCTTCCCCGCGCGCGCATCGGGTTGCTTCGAGCTCTCCTGCGACCAGCATGGGCTCCCACTTAGCTTGCACGCGATGGAACACAATAGGCTCGTGTGGCCGTGGGGATTGGGTGTGTCAAGCACGACGAAAAAGTACGTGCAAGATTTGAGGCCACTCGGTGCACCTGGGAGGAGGAAAACTGGGTTGCGAGGAGTACTCAACTTACTCTTCGAGAGGTCTTCTGCAGGAGAGGAGATGCGTATGATAGTGTTCTGCACACTCCTCGTGTGTTTGGCGATGTGGGGGTTCGTCGCCAGCGCAGATCGAAAAGCAAGACTACAGACTGGTGGTTTCCAAGTCGTGGTTTAATGATAACTTATTTTTTCTATTTTTATAAACGCTTTCGTTCTTTGCATTGTCCTGTTGTACTTTTCCTCGGTGTTGTATTATCATTTGTAGTATATCCATACTAGAGACCCAATCTGTATATCATCGCATTACCACTCAATCAAAATCACTTGTACTATGTCCAAAAATTTCGAACTTTCATACTCAGTCACATGATGAAGTAAAATGGTATAAAGATGCTGGATTACAATGCAACAATGAAACACGAATAGTAAAGACACAAAATCTAGGCCACTTTTAATTTCTACAGAGAAACAAGACAGGTATCGTTATATCGTATCGTATCGCGTCGTTTACACCAGAGAGTAAGTACTATCTAAGTCAAAAAAGAATGAGCAGCTCGCTCCAAGGATAGGGAACCTTCATGCTCCACGGACAGAGCCTCCAGAATCGAGATATTAATACCTAGATAAGGATAATAATGGGATACATTTTATTCAAGAGAATGTGTGGATAGGGTTTTGATATGTTGATAATGTTGAGATATGGATGGATGGATGTGATAAATGATTGTAAGAGTTGTGTCGGAGGAGATGCGGGATGCAAAAATGCCGAGTGAGAGAATACAATTAAGACCTGACAACCGATCAGCGAACGTCCTCATGCACCATGTGCCAGCCCATTCAAAAAAGTATTACTAGACACGAAAGCATAAAAGCAAGCGTAGCGTCTCGAAAACATAGGATGTGGGGGATGGGGATGAAAGCAAAGAAAAATGGGACTATAGAGCACAAACAAAAAGAAAACACGCACATCTTATATTGGATGCTCTTCTCTTCTGCATCCCCTTCGACCTTGTAGACGATCCCAATGTCAAGATCGCGATTGTTGCGCGCGTTAGGCGCGCATGTGAGCTTGCCGACGATGTTGTCATCCTGGTTGACCGTGAGTGTTGTGGGGGTGTAGAACACGGTTTGTCTGTTGCAGTTAGCATCGCGTCCAAATACAGCTAAGGGAATGAAACATACTTCCAGTGTGTATATTGGGCGTGGGTGCCCGTGGAGAACTTGACCTTCTTGTGCGTGCATTCGAAGGAGATATCGAACCACGCGAGGAAGGCGTGGATATAGTCGTTGCGGGTGGCGCGGAGGGAAAAGGTGGATTCGAAGGTCAGGTCTTCTTTTTTGGCGGTGAGGAGATCGATGTGCTATAGGTAACTGGTTAAGATATATTCGTAGAATGTCTCTTAAAGAACGTACCTTGATCAGACACGGGTCGGTAACGACCGACTTGAGCTCGACGGTGTCGACGAGAGGCTCGCGTAGGGCGATGTCTTTTATGCACGAGTAGTCAAACCCGTATACATTTTCCCAAACTGTATGAGGTATTAGCGAAGAGCATGTTAATACCAGACGTCACGTACAGTTGATTTTCTCCTCCTTGTACTCCTGGTCCTCAATGGCGGCGAGATAGAGTGTGGCGGTATCGGGAAAGATAAGGCCACCCTTCTTGAGGTATTTATCGCGGGCGAGGAGCACGGTGTCGAGCATGGACTCATAGAGGAGGAAATAGCCCATCCACTCGGAGATGATGATGTCAAACTCATCGAACGGGAGTTTTGTCTCCTCAAGCTTGCCTTTGACGAGAGTGATCGCTGCGGCGGCATTAAGAAATGTATAAGTGAGGCTTCGCTAGGGGTACTCACTATCCTTGAAGCCGTTGGCCTCGATGATCTTTTGTGCTTGATCGATGATATTCGACATGTCGATCTGATGAACATGAGCTGATAGACGCTGTTGAAAAAGGAGAAAAGCTCACCCCAACGACATGTTTAGCACCAGCCTTTGCGGCGAACATGGAGAGAATTCCAGTTCCGCATCCCACGTCGAGCACGATCTTCCCCTTGAAGAGATGGGGGTTGTTGATAATAGCCGAGCGGTATGAACCCGTTCGGACTGAATCTTTCAACATCTCCTCATGAATACCTAAACATTTGTTAATATCAGTTTTCTTCTAAGACATATAGAAGCTCACCGAAATGTGCATACGAGTCAGCATAGCTAAGAAATAATGTCAGATAATTCTTCGGCAAAAACCACTGAACGTAAGCACTAGTCTCTGGAGGTCATATCCAGCGCATCGGGTACAGCAGCCTGATTGTTGCTGGAGGGCCCTGCGGTGTCCATGACGGCGTCCATGATTGTGGGAGGAGGTAGAAAAGATCGATGGAGTAGAAGGTAGAGGAAAGAGAAAGACTCTGAACTTGATCGACGAAAAATCCAACTAAGAAAAATTGGCGGGCCTTTCCCAAAATAACACAGATGTTACACGTGTGCTTACGTACTCGGCATTGCCTTTTACGCAGCTCTGTGATCAGGACGCGTTCTCCACACTGCCATCGTCCGGTACTCTCCTGCAAAGTCATTCCTCCGCAGCCTTGGATAGCCGACCGTACATATAAACACACCACCCGCTGACGATTGTAGACCTTCAAAGCTTCCCCATGGTGCGTCACTATTCCCCTCTATGGTCGAATGCAACTGTTTTACTGACTCAGATCCTCTACTTGTAGGCACAATCACCTCAGGACAATCCGCCCGCGTACGAGTACGTCCCAGAGAGACAAGACTGTGAGTTTATACTTTCCTACGGAGAGATATAACATAAATTAATCTTGAAATCCTTACAGATGACAAAGGCAAACTTCAACCCAAACCTCAGGCCTCGTCTGAGCAGCCTTTGATTCCTTACTCTGTCTCTGGACCATCATACACCACGCAACCAACCTACACACCAGCTCCGACTGTATACCACTACAAGAACCCAGCGACAGGCGAGCACGTCGCCTCGCTTCTACCACCGAATCACCCAGAAATGGTGTGCTTGCAGTCAGGAATGCATGTTCCGGAGACGCGATATAGTTTCCTAGGTTAGTCGGAGTGAGGATATAATCTAAGGCACCCCCTGACTTTGTTTCCTCGCAGGTCTTCTTGCTGCCATTGTGTGGTTCCCGTTGGGCATTGGCCTCTGTCTCCTCGACCGTCGAATCAAATGTACACGCTGTGGCCATATGATTTCCGACGGTGTCTGCAGTTAATCAACTTCCCGATTTCCTTTTTTCTTCTCTTTTCTTTATGTGACACTCCGATACTTCCAACCACCACACTCCTTCTACCCCTTTACGACCTTTCATGACGGACATGTACAACTTTCATTTTTTGGAGATTATTGACGTGGTCATTATTCTCTGTTGCTGTACATTATATACATTATACCTTTTCTTCTCGGACCAATTAACGCGCATAATCTTCGTTTCCTCTGCTTATTCACCTCTCTAAGTCTCTCATACTTGCCTTTCCTTTCAGTCTCCTGGAACTGAGTGATATAGTAGTCCAACTTGACGCACACGTACGCTGATGATATTTCACAGGTTACACGCCCTCAAGCTTCTGGTTCTGCGGCTGCGCCTAGACGACAGTACGCAGTTATTCCCATATTCAACTATTTTCATCCTTCACTCGTCCAGCCTTGGATGCTCTACTCTTGCCGCTCCAGGACACCTGATACGAATATTTTTATTTAGGCTGATTGTCAAACAAGTCCAATAACCGAGGGTCTACGTGTATGTGCCGTTTCCAGAATTCGGTTCAGTTCGACACGCATCATCATGACTCGCGTCGATAATGCTCAGATGACCCCATCTCGTCTCCATTATACCTGAAACTTTTGTCTACTTCCCCTGCATTCATATCCTCGTCTCCCATACCGGTTCTGAATAATCGAACATGGTTTATAGGCTGTACCATGCTTGCATTTCTTCGCGAAACTTGTCCACTCCAAGTCGCCTTTTCCAAACCTCCTATCATCCTTAGAGTCACTCTAGCCACCCTTATTGTTGTGTTGTATATCATCCCTTGACTGAGGCCCAACCCCTCCTCGTCACAATCACAGCCCGCCTAGCTCAATCGGATAGAGCGTCAGACTCTTATTCAATAGGCGGAATCTGAAGGCTGGGGGTTCGACCCCCCCGGTGGGCTATAAGTGGATTTGGTGATATTATTTTTCCTTCGTTATGGGGTTCATTGCTTTTCGTGACGTTTCTACTCAAACTAACTGTTTTTCATTTATTTATAGACAATATTTAATGTGAAAGCGCTTGATGTTCCTCAATACGGCACTTATTTCCAAAACAGGAGTCGTTTACCGTGCTGAAATGGGGCTTCCGACTCTTACCTGGTCTAGTTGTGTGGACGAGAGCGAAATATGATGCAGGGGGTTCGACACGCATTGGGATATACGTACTCTATGCAAACCAAGTTCCGGAGCACCTCTCGCCAAGATTCCGAACAGTTTCGTGAGTTAGTTTTTGTAACAAAGAAAATCCTAGACGTTATACTCGAGAGCTCCATTATCGATAGGACTATCGCTTGCTATTGCTCTGCCGATCTTCGAGCTCAATCGTCGACGCGCTTATCCCGCCGCTCCAGACATATGCCCCAGAACGAGAAACACCGCCCGCCTAGCTCAATCGGATAGAGCGTCAGACTCTTAATTGGTCTGGTTGTGTGGACTCAAGCGGAATCTGAAGGCTGGGGGTTCGACCCCCCCGGTGGGCTACTATCATATCTTTTTCGGCTTCTTTAGTCCCCAGATGTTCCAATGAGCAAGGCTGAGTTCGATTGCACAGTTTCCTAATCTACTCAAGATCAACCCCATGACTAGGCATATTATATAAGTCCCCAACTTCCAAATTTGTTGCTACAACCTTTCAAAGTGAATTTCCGGTCCTCAATAATTGCCAATCATTCGGTAAGTGTTAAACTTGAGGAAACTGTCAACGGACTCACATACATACCTTTTGAATCTACTTGGCTCTCTCAAACTTTAATAAGGCTTCGAAGTTGAGAGTCTCGATCAAGTTCGCGATGTCTTCAAATTTGCCTTCCGGAACCTTCACCAAGTGCTCTTTTCCATCTTCATTTGTGAATCCAATGGTGTCGGGTACAACACAGTCGTCGCCTCTAACATCGACGCTGCGACGCGTGCGATAATCGGCATCCCAGTTTGCGGAGACCCAATTAATGCGATTTGGGGCGGGATAGACGCTTGAGCCTATGATTGAACGGTACGCATATCAACACCTGTTCACATAACATCATTCAAAAGCGTACAAACAGAACCACTAGAAGATCCGGCACCGCTTGTTTGTGTCCAGCAGAAATCCCCATACGTCAGACCCAGCCAATATGGCGTTGAGGGCATGTTGCTAAATCTGACAGACCATCCATAGCTTGAATTTGAAGGCCAGTAGCAACAAGAGCCTTCAGCGGTGTTAGTGCAGCATCCGCACGAGCCGATGCAGTCGCGAGAGGTGTATGCGCAAATGTTAGCCGCGAATGCTACAGCTATAATGGCGAAAAGGGTAGCGGAACGGAAAAAAGTGGAACTTCGCATATTCTGGGAAGTGCTGTGTCTAGGTGAGTAGTCAACTACTTACCTCTATCTTCTTCCCTGATCGTCTTATATACTCTTCATGAAGCCCTGGATAAATTTGCGATGCCGTGATCCGCAGCTCGATATTTTGCCGTAGATAACGAATTCATCCATCGAGTAAATGAACATCTTGATGAAACCTTTGATCTCTGTTGTCCGCGTCAGCTCGTATAAAATACAACTGCTCTCGACCAACGGTCAACTTTAGATTGAGTCAGATGGACAGTGTTCACATGGTTCGGTCGGTAAAGTCTCTGTGAGTGCTAATAAATAATGAACTTTACGTCTACGGATCCATACTAGATCAATCACTCACGGCGATTTCTGTTAGGCAATGCCGTTATCCAGTGCTGATGGAACTTGGGCGGAACAAAGCTTTAGCTTTACAGAGTTCAATCCCATCTCTACTTTGAATTTGAAAAACCATAATATGGTGAATGGCCCACGAGGATTCACAGTACACCAGGTAGATTGATCTCCACTGATCCTGGGATGATCTGATATCCCGATGGTGCATCTATCTATAACAATTTGTACGTTCAATGGATAAATACCTGTATAACTTTCGAAATTTAATGACCTGAAATGGTGCACAGCGTTAACAATTGTTCAATCACGGAAAAATACAACCATCGCCATTTATTGAATGAGTACACGATAAGGCACGTTCATATAAAAAATAACCGACTAAGAGTTCTGAATGAAAAATCAAAGATTGAAGAGTCAACACCCGAGCTTGATCGTAACAAGCATCGTACGGTTTAGCAGAGCGTCGATACGTCAGAGATTGCCACTGCAAGGAGCTGTATAGAATATGATCAGAAATGGTAATTAACATCAATAGATCAATGCTCAGGGAAAGGCTTACCATTTCGGCTAGTTGACTTTATCCAGCTTCAATAACTCTTTGAAATTATCAGCCTTTACCAACTCGTTGACCTCCTCAAACTTCCCTTCGGGGACTTTCACCAGGTGCTCTTCTCCATCATCACTCGTAAAACCGATGACATTGGGAAGAACGCAGTCCCCTTGAGGAGTATCGCCCCTCTCCTCGAGGCTGCGTCTGGTACGGTAATCGGAGTCCCAGTTCGCGGAAACCCAATTGATGTATGTGGGTCCAGTATAAACGCTAGCGCCTGGTAAGCTCGATTAATTGGTTGCTACATAAGAACTTAATTTTTAAACTTACAGATAGATCCACTGGAGGATCCACTACCGCTCGTGAGCGTGGTACACAAGTCACCATAGGCGCGACCCAGCCACCACGGCGTTGTGGGCATGCTGCTGTACTTAACAGACCAGCCATATCCTGAGTTGGCCGGCCAGTAACAACAAGTGCCCTCGGCAATGCCATAGCAGCATCCGTAGGAGCCAATACAGTTGCGAGATGTGTATGTGCAAATATCAGCGGCGAATACGAGTCCGATGGAAAGGAGAAGAGTAGCGAGGAAAGAGGTTTTCTGCATATTGTTCTGTGGGTTTGTTGTACGATCCCTTGGTGAGGATTTGACTGACGATTCGTCCTCTTTCATAGGTCTTTTATATCCAAAAATTATTCAGGATCGAGGGGTCTAAAGGTACATTCTGCCTATGGGCGTTCACACTTGACAAGCTGGACCAGAATTCTAGACGATTGAAACGCAGCGGAGCACTGGAATATCCATAACATTCCATAATTATGTCAAATATGTGCTGTTCAATCCAATTCAATAATTCATTTTCAGGCTCTGTGTGTCAGGGGATACATCGACGTTCTATTCAATGGCAAGCACGAGGTTAACTTGGGATGAGTACATTTGACATCAGTCCCTCGTGAAGTATTTTTGTACATGCTAAAAGCAGGCCGCAAGGGATTGTCGGAAATGATTGTAAGTCTAGGGATCTGCAGGGCTGTCAGAAGCCTACTGATAGAGAAGCTTCGGTATGCTGTGGGGTGGGACAGCTTTAACAACTTACAAGCGCCGCAGCCATTTTCATTTTCATTTTCAAAATCATGCAAGAACTCTTAGGGTGTTTTACTAGGAGGAATGTCTTGAATGGCATATAATTTGACATTTTAATGATAAGACTCAGCTTATACTTTTGATGGCGCACTGCTGCGCATATTTAATGATGTCCGCTTATACATATACTATAGAATAAACGTTGTTCTCCCGACTTTAACGCTGAGGGACGATCAGAAAGTTGACATAAGAAACTGTGATTGCGATACAACGTCCGAATAATACCGCTGGTGCCAGTTCCCTACAGAAAAGGCTTTGCACCGATGTCAACGATGTGTTGACAAACCAAAAATTAAGTCATGAGGTTTATAACGGGGAGTAGACGAGAACGGAAGGGATTCCGTGCTTATTCCGTGCTGTTAGAGACGATTTCAGGTGAGAGGCACGCCATTCAGTCTGGCTGATAAAATTCATTCTATCAGCCCTGAAGTATAACTTAGGCGTTTACTTTTTTTTAAAGTCTTTTGTGCTCGGCTGATGGAGGATATTTGTGAGCTCGACACACCAAGGTAATGTAAGGCCAATCAAATGACTTAGATATAGACCAAATCCTTCAGTTCTATTTCATAAATGTGGTCGCGCAAGCCTGATCTCGTTTATCAGCCTCCAGTACAGTGGGAAGCACTGATCGTTGTGCCTTATTTTCCATATTAAGGGAGAGATTGTGGTCAGATAAATAACTGGCCTTGTAGATAAGAGTCCATGTAAAAATACGATGCCCATAATTAATAGCCCACCGAGTAGCATTACGGATAAAGAATTCACGTAAAAAGATAGTGACTTTCTATTCATAGCCCACCGGGGGGGTCGAACCCCCAGCCTTCAGATTCCGCCTATTAGATAAGAGTCTGACGCTCTATCCGATTGAGCTAGGCGGGCTGTTATCTGATCTTATTTATTCACTTACTGAATCATAATGCACTTCTCATTCGAATCGCTGAAGACGATTCTAGCAAACGCCTTGAGGAGGATGACGAGTTTAGTTTATTTGTGCCTCTACATGCTGTACTTTATTTATAGCGCTATTAATCAATGTAAACATAGCCTACCTATGACGTTGAATAGTCAGCCAATCGTGGGCCGTTTCATTTCTTTAACAGACCCCATAAACGGCGTTCCGTCTCCCGTAAAGGCACCTATTTCCCCACACCGACGTTGAAGCGTGTGGGGAAGGGAGAGTAAGTTCTGTTCTGCGTCCTACGCCTCGCGACGTTCCGCTGCGTTGTGTATTACTAACTCAACCACCAAACTAATACCATCCTTGAAGCAATTTGAAGATGTCAAACACAGAACGTCCAAACGAAGCGGCGCATAAGGAGTTGTACGATGCTGGGATTCAGGTTCGGAGGAAGGTTATGGTGAGTGGTGCTTCTTCGCCCGAACGACGATCTTTGAATGCTCATTAATTTGAGTAGGGAGACGCATATGTTGATAATCAGCTCAAACAAGTACGCGTTCGAGTCTCCATTCAACCTTCAAAGCATCAATTGAACATTCATCTACTATGCTAAGGGTGTATCAGAATTCATGAGGCCCCTGCAAGAGTTGGCTACCGAGGTGCGTATATCAGTACCTCATTCAATGTAAGGAGCACTGAAGATATCGTCAGGCGGCATGGGGAACGATATGGACGCGTCCCGGACTCGAGCTCAAACAGCGCAGCTTGATTGTAATTGCATTGCTCGCATCGCAGGGAAAGGAAGCCGAGGTTGGTGTCTCCCTCCTTACCTTTCCTCTCATACATCCTTGCCGTTTGCTTTAAAAACCCACGAACTAAACTATTCCTCAAACAGCTAACGGGTCACATCCGCGGCGCAGTGAACAACGGCGCGTCCGAGATCGAGATCCGCGAGACCCTGCTACAGGCGGCGACTTATTGCGGAATACCAACTGGGATGTTGAGTTTTAGGGTTGCGGATAAGGCCATACAGCAGTTGAAGGAGGAGGGGAAGTTGCCGAAGTGAGTATAGAGGAATTGGAAAGGGGGGAAATGAGTTTGGAAAGGATTGTAGGAGTTGGATAGCTCGAATTTGTATCATAACGGTGATTGAAGGCCGCAAGTGGCTTTATTTTAAACCCGAAGACATTTCAGTGCTATTCACGAGTCAGAGGGTATTTGC